CAGGCCAAGAGAATGACTTGGAAAAGGATCTTTCACTGGATTTACAAAAGAAATTGGTTGATGCTTTAAAATTCAAAAGATGAACCAAGAGAGTGACCTGGACATTTTTTTCCTATTGGATTTACAAAAGATGCTTGTTAAAGCCTTGAAGAACTCAGTGCAAAGGAACAAAGAAGAAATGAAGAAAAATCAGATACTGTGACAATATTTGAATGAACTGAAGATTAAGAAGTAAAAGGAAGCAATATAAAGTTGCTTTACTTGATCAAGGTTAAAACAAGATATGTTGCTACTTCTGGCAACCATTTATGAACTTTTTTGCTGATACTAGTATTGAAAAGATGATGCTTTATGGATTTGTCTATAGATAAGGGATGGGATAGGAGATGAAGAGATAAACTTGGAGTGAAGAGTCACTACATTTGTTTATACTTGTGATGAAGGTTAGAAGTCCCTTCTTTATTTCTTTTCCCTTTATTACATTCTTATTTTTTTCTTTTCTCTTTCTTTTCTCTTTCTCTCTTTCTTTCATTTCTTTTTTTCCCTTTGTCTTTGCACCTTTTATTCTTTCTTTCTCTTCTCTTTCTTTACATTTAGTTTGTATAAGATTTTACTATTATAATCAAAATTCTTAATACAATTGTACTAAAAGAGATGGAGATGGAGATCCACACACACACACATGCACACACACACATTAATGGCAGCCAGCTTGGAAGAGTATGTCACTGCAAACTGGAAATCTGTGCAAGAGTGGCAGGTTCTGGAAGAATGTACAATAGTTTCAAAGAGTTGTTTTTAGGACCCATGGCAAAACACCTCTTCTAGAAAGACAATTAGATCAGATATGTGAAAAATAGGAATTCCAGCAAATTCAGTTTCAGGACAAACTTGCTTTTAAAAGCAAGCATTTTGATACTTTTGGTGGAGCTAAGTTTCTTTCTAGAATTCTTTATATTTAGAGCCAGTCCAAGAGATTTTGTTGCCTAAGGTGAAAGATAAGGTGCTTTCCCTTGTTCACCTTCCATATAACAATACTAATTAGACAAAACCCTAGGAGTGACATAATGCACATTGTAAACATGCATTATGATAGGCTTTGCCCTCTTCACATTCTTGCTTCTCTAACCATGTCAGTGAAATTATGTTTTGCAATGTGCAGGAACTGTGTTCTACCTTGAAATTGCTAGTATCTGTGAGCAAATGCAGGAAGAGAACGGTAGTTATAAACCTAATAAGAGATCATCGAAACATTGTCTACCTTTTTTTTCTATTAAGCCTGAAAGGGGATGGTGTTAATGTCTGCTGAAATTTGCTAATATCCTTGGAAGGTAAAATATAAGTAATCAGTGGGAAAATATAAGGCATCACGTTATAGAGTTCTGAATTAAGTACTGATTGGAGGGTATGGAATATGAATATGTTATTCATTAGGAATAAATAATAAAGCCATTTGGAGGCTTAGAAAAGGGAGAAGAAAAACATGGAAATTATTGGCAGTTTTAGAAACGTGAGGGGCAGATAAAGGAAGATAGACTAGATTGAGAATTCAAGGGAAATCTGTGGAATGCGGGTTTAACTTTGGAAGAATAAAGGAAAGTTGCTGAAGCTATGACTCACTCTGAAATATTACTGATTGCTGGAGGAATTCCTGTTTGCTTCTGATGTGCAATAGAATTATTATTGCAAAGTCTCCAATGGTCGCTCATTCCAAGGTAACTGAGGCTGCAATCTTATACACAGTGAAAGAAAGTGCCACTGAACATAATCAATGACTTCCAACTTCTTTTTAAAAAAGGAATCTGATTGTGCCTGTGACAGTCTCCCCGACATTTCTTACAATTTAGAAAATTGGGACGCACCTACCAATATAATAGATGCAATCCATTATAGATTATGCAGTATTTACCTTCGCACAGGTTGAATGAACATAGAAAAAGCAGTCATCCCCAACTTCTGTCATTTCACCTCTTGTGCTTCTACTCCACTGCCTTTAGAAAGATCTCAGCATAAATGTTGGAATTATCAACATCTATGGGAAGAATATTCCCTTTTGTTCTGAGTACAGCTGAATTCAGGATCTAAGTTCTATTTCCTCTTAAAGGGAAACCTCCAGTTGATAGTTTTAATCAAAAGGCTTCTTATACTAATTGTAAAACAGACGGTACCTTCTCCAGGTTTATTGAAGAGCTCACAAATTGAAAGTGGTTGCTAGACAGTGCACAAATTCAAACTTCCAGAATTTCTTTCATTGTTACCTTAGTTCTTATGACATCATCACAAAGGACATCATACGACCCCTCAAACTGGGAGTGCTCACTTATTTTCATTGCTCCTATGTGCTGGAAAACAGGAAGAAGACAACAATTTTCCTATGGTCTACTCATCTGATTGTTCTAACATAACATAAATGTATGAAAGGAATAGAACTCAATTAAGAGAATTTCTGAAACTCGTAATTAATGCACAGAGCTAAGAATGAGACACGATAAAGATCCTCACTCTTCATATACCAGTAACTGCCTGCTTGCCAGAATTTTAATTATTTTAATTATTTGGTTCCTAAGCTTATCTACCATCATATCTACTCCTGACAGACATATGTACTACAGATCCTGCTATTAATGGCATGTGTAGCACTAAGTCTTTGAATAACTACTAATATTGCCAGAGAGTGTTGGGCTATGGGACGGATCCTTGATTGCATGGAAGTAAGTATAGTTCTTTGCTTACTTTTTTTTCTTTTTCTTTTTTGGCATTGTTTAAAAGCAAGGCCTGAAAAGCCCATTGTCTGAGGAGATTTGGGTTGAGAAAAATAATCTCTTAGAGAGAAAGGCACAAAATATAGGAAAAATATCCTAAGAACGGCCAATCAAAAAGGTTAGCCTTGATTTTTCCACTCTTGTGGGAGGAGGGGGACTCACTGAACAGTGGCAAAAACATTTACAATAGTTATGGGATCCCCTAAAGCAGATTCACTCTAATGACTCATGCACTGCAACATACTAGATGTTCATAAAGGAAATCATGAAGATGCCACATGAGAGTAAACCAGTTGGTATTGTTTTATTATAAAATGCATTAGTATTTGCAGCTTGCATCAGTTCTACATATGTTTAATAACATAGAGTTTATTTATTTAAATATCCATACATTCAATTATATCCCAAAAGAGTCAATCAGCTCTCAATGGGTAACAATCAAGAATTAACAATAACTTTACATAACATAGGGAAAATATTATTTACAGTACGTGAGACATGAATAGAGCAATAGAGAAGTACACTATTTTTGCTGAATAGGTAATCCCATCACAATATTTATGTTATTAACTTGTGAATTCACATTTCTTTAGAAACTTTATATTTAGAGTTCAAAAACTGGCCATTATTTTTCCAAAGAAGGGAAAACATTTGAAGAGTATATTAAAAAGATTACTTTTCAAGGAATCTGAAGATAACCACTAAAGTAGGAACTGCTGATCTAGCTATTGTATAGCAGCTACGCTGGAGATAAAATGTTCGGAATGATAAAAATTTAAGCCTGTAAAATAATGTAAGTATCTCTCTGATGTATGCGAATGGTAAGAAATAATTATTAATAATTATTTAGTTAATTATAATTATTTGTATTATTTCAAAGCAGTTTGGGAAGCACGGTATTGATGTAGACAGAAACTTCACAAGGAATGGTCATGAACCAGCAGCTTGACACTTAAGACTGCTTTTATATTTTGCAAAAGATGCTTCTGTATGAATGGCTTGTCAGATAATACCCTAACTCTATGGAACTCCTTGAAGATTTGGATGCCCCCAACCCAGTTAGCCTTTCGTAAAGCATTGAAAACCTGGCTGCTTCCCCAGGCGTTTGGGTCAGATGGGTGGATGAGCTCAGTGTGCTTTTTTTCTATGAGTGGGGCTACTGTTTATCCTTGGACACCCAAGGTTGTATGTTGTGGGTTTTTCTGTGTTTTTAATCAGTGTTTTAAGCCACCCAGAGTCACTTGTCTAAAGAAATAAAATAAATAAAACACAGACATTAAGTACCACAAAGCAGGGTTTCCAAATCAATATTACACATTTCTGGTGACAGAAGGAACGAGCGCAGAAATTCGTTCCTGGACTACAGTTCAACTCGTAGGCACACCAGCTTTGGGCTGCAAACATCTGAACGACCCGTGGAAGGCAGGAAAGAACTTGCTTTGTATCTTCACGCTGTCATCTAGCGGTTATTTGGGTTTTTTTATATAGTCCTATGCAAGTTGCCACCCTAAATTTCATTGTATCAAACAATGATACAATATCAAACGCAACCACGTGAATTCTAAAAACAAGGTATATTCTTCACGAACAAACGACTGTAGAGTAATTGGCGGCTCCCAAATATTTAAAGCAGTTGGAGAATGATTCCGTGTGGCACAATATCTTGATCTGAGAACCAAAGTATTAAGAGCTAACGTCGTTCTGTTTTCAATAAACAAAAACAATAAAAATTGTTAGTTTTATTGCAAGGTTTCTGATTTTTTAAGAAAGTTTCCCCCCCTCTTTTTATCAAATGTTATTAATCTTCGATTGCGCGAAATGCATTCTTCATGAATTCTTGATAGGAATCCTTTTTTGGGGAAAAAAAATCTGTGAAATGTTTGAGGGTTAAACCACTAAGACATGGGTCAGCTCTTAACGCTAACTCAACTTCTGAAATACTTAAAGCTGTAACAAAGACGTGATTATATGGTGTGAGCGTATTACGTAGCCTTTCCCCCTTTCTGATTAACACCCTAGTCCTGGCTGGGAGTTGTAGTTTAATACCTCTGGTTGGCAACTGGTTGGTAATGGCTGCTCGAGGAACAATGGGTGAAAGCCGCGATCAAAAGAAATCGTCTCTTCTAATTCAGCAAGTAAGTCACTCCGAAGCGTGCCGAGCCTCCCTCTGCCCGGCCCTGGACTACATTTCCCAGAAATCCGTTCAGTGAGACTTACCCCGCCGCGTCTGTTGCCGCTTGGGGAGGCGGCCTCCGGGCTAGGCAGCGGCTTGCAGCAGTTGAGCGGGGAAGTTGGAGCCTCCCCGCTTGCGGGGCGCGACGGGACGCGTTCCCGGGGCCATGAGCCGGCTGGGCTCGGTGCAACAGAAGGTGCCCTGCCTCTTCGTGACTCAAGTGAAGGAGGAGCCCTCAGCCAAGCGGGAGCGCCAGGTACTGGGGTCGGAGTGGACCGCCGGCTGAAGGGGAGCCATGGGCCTGTCAGAAAGCGCAGGGAACCCGCAGGCAGAGAATCGGATATTAACTTTTCCGGATCAGTCGCGGGTCTTCGTAGAGCTTGGCTGCGCGAAAAATAGCCTACAGCATCTTCTGGGCAAGAGGATTATTCGCGGCGCTTTCTCTCGCCCGCTTTTGCGTCACACCCACGTGAAACGACCCGTGGGAGAGAACGATTTTGCTTAAGAGGCAGAGTCGCTTCACCTTTTCCAAAGCCTCTGCCACGCTTGCTTCACGGGGGTGTCAAACACATGCCTCGTACACAGGATGGCATCCCTGTGAATTACTTAGGTATTTTATGAGCTTTTTTAGGTGCAAATACTTTCCAAATGTGTGAAATAGCCTTCACAGTTCAAAAGGAATCTGGCAAATTGGAACTCACCTTCTCAGATTTCTACCTCTTTGTGGGACTAGATTTTTAGAGAGAATAATCTATCCTGGGGTTACTCTTTAGCTGGCAGAATATTGCTCTTCCAAACATTTCTGCTGAGACAGAAATTGCAGCTATCATTGATCACCTTAATACACTTTACTGCTTAAAAGCTATTTGGACAAGTAGACTTTTCAGAAGACTTAAACAACTTTATCCTATCACGTTATTACAACAAACATAACTGCTCCCCCCCCCTTTTTATTTTTGTTATTTTTTGCTAGTTATCCTTCTAATTTCAAACTGAGACTCAGCTATTTTATTCATTTACTAGATCCTATATATATATATACATATACACACATACATACAAACACACACACACACACACACACACACCCCTCTTTGATAGAAATTTTTAAAGTGTTAAAGAAAGATACATTTTCCAAAGAGTTTATAATGATCATTTTCTTTTCAGCCTTTTAAAGTGTTGGCCACCAACTCAATTAATCAGAAGGCTTTAGCTGCAGATATATACAGTGCAATCCCAACAGAAAAGGTGGATGGAACTTGTTGTTATATAACTACATACAAAGGTAATATAGAAGAACTAAATTAAAAATATTATTGTACTAAGGATTATGTATGTGAGCAGGTACCATGCACATCTTTGTAAATAAATAAACAATTCAAAATATTAGGATTTTTCTCTTTCCATGTACTGAAAAATGCCAGACAAGTACATCCTGCTGCTCCGCATGGCTCAGTTTCCTAGTAACACTTCAGTTTGAATAATGTAATAGATCTGTCAGCCTAGAGTCATGCTATTTAAGCCACAGCACTTTGGCTATGAAGGTCCTGAGTGTTAATGTTAGACGGGTACCTTGTCCCAAGAAATTCCAAATATAGCCATATCTGAGAGCTTAATCTTGCCAATATTTTCCTTTAAGGCCATTATACTCAAACAGCATATCTTACACCATATTGTTGCTGAACAGCAGTTTGAATGACAGAAACATACTACTTCTGCAGAATTGGTTATGTTAGAGTATGACAAGTAGTCATACACAAGGACAGAAATATCCAAGCATGTGTAGGTTATCCACCTTTTTATATATTAACTCTAGGTTTTCTAATATGCATGTTCACTTCTGTGTAAAATTTCATTTAGTGACAATCTGCAGTACTGTTCTGATTGAGATCTATTATACTGATTTTGAGAACAGAAGTTAATACTGTGGAACCACATTCCATAGTTACATATGCCACCGTAATATAAACAATATTTGCCCTTAAATGATCCTTATTGTATATAATAACAAAGATCATAATGCAGCTAAGCACCAGAAAGGCATATTTATGCAAAGGCTAAGTCTAATCTGTAGCATTATTGTGATGAAATCAGTTTTTCACTCTTAGTTTAATAAGCAGGGTTTACAAACAAGTGTTTACTTTCAGTAGGATTATGTTGTAAAATATATAATCCTACTTAGGGAAATTGTTACCTTGAAGTAGTGGAAGGGTTCAGTAGCTCCAGTGACCTTAAGAAGGATATCTGTGGAAATGTCAAACTTCCATGATAGATCTGGAAGTAATGATGTAACCAGATCAAAACTGCAAAAAAAAAAAATTGTTAATATGTTGTATTAATATGCTGTATTGTAAGCAAAGTTCCTCACTTTATAATCAAAATTTGAAATATGTATAGCATGGAATAAGGAAACTTTGAAAATATCAAAGCAAAAATAAAGTGTACTAAATTAGATGTCTCAGAAATTACTAAATGTCTTTGGAATAAGTGAACTTAAAAAGAGTGGAACAAGTTAGCTTACCACAAATAATTATATGATATACTATTTAAATAAGGAGAGCATATGAAGGGAAGGAATAGCTTGGAATAGAAAAGATCCAAGTATGTGCTTCTTGAATGTGCTAATTCAGTAAATGACAAAATTATATTTATTAGCGGACATTCAGTGCCACTTCCATTAAGTGAGTGTATGTACTATATCAACAACAAATGCAGTGATGGAAGTCCCTGAGGAATTCCATTGCAAATTGCAAGAGATGTTAGATGCAGCATAAAAAAATGTGGTATTATATATAGATTAATATGTGTGACTTGATTGCAAATGTTCCAAAAATGGAGGAACCTGAAAACTTGGGAAGATGTAGATTAGATGAATGCAATACTTCAGGGAGAGATAGATTAATAGTTTTGCAAAGAAAATCTTTGTTTACTGCCAGCACCTTGTTTCAAATGCTATAAAACCAAACTCTACTACTGGATATCACCAGATGCCCAACAGCAGAATCAATTAATACAATAACAAACAGATGATGGAGAACTTCAATCCAGTCAATCAAGATACATCCAATTGCAAATTATGGAACAGATTGTGAATTATTGTCAAATATATGGGTTAAATTTAAAATTAAAGAGAGTTAGTATGCCAGCACTTCATGACATGGAGAACAGCCAAAATATATTGAAGGGTCCATGTAAAGAACAGTTTTCATATGTGGAACTTGTGGGGAAAGATAAAATGCATCATGAAAACCAAAATAGAAAAATATTTTTCCAAAATTTCTAAGAGGGAAATATTGTAGTAGCTTTCAAAACAAGCTATCATTATAACCATATAGGAAAGATAGGATGAACACTTAGGGCAACATAAAGGCCATAAAATGAGTGAACACAGACTTTCAGCTTGAAACTGAAAGTATCAAGAATGTCAATAGATGAAATAATAATAAAAGGAAAATGACATGTTTTTAAGAAGACAGAGAAATCACAGGAAAGGAATACTCAAGTGTAATTATGAAAGAGTTCTTGTAGATGGAAATCAGGAAATAGGAAAATACTAGGTGCAGATGAAATACCTATTAAGCTGTCTAAACATGCTGAAAAAAAGATAACAAAATGGTCACAAATATTCTGTGTGAACAACTATAGAACAAGACTGAGGTCTAGAGATTGGAAAAGATCTTTGTATGTGTGTGTGTAAAAGAAAGAAAAAAGGGAGGGAGGGAGGGAGGAATACTGATGAAGGAAGATAGAAGAAAATGTGCAGAATATGGATCCATTAAACTAATTTCTCATGTAAGCGATGTTTTGGTCAAGATCTTACTAAGAAAAACAGTCATGCCTAGAATATAGCTAGCGTAAGGTAGATAATGTAGAAAGCAAGAGGAGTATAAGAAATGGGTTTACCTCTGTTTTTTGACTATAGCAAGACCTTTGTTTTTGTGAATCATGACCGAATATGGAATATATTAAGACCAATAGAATATGCGATCATTCTTAGGACTCTTTACACTGATCAAAAAGAGCTACTGCAAGAACTGAATTTGGAACAACAGCGGTTGAGAATAAGGGTATGCGGCAAGGTGATTCTTATTTCCATTTCTGTTTATCTTGTCACTAAATATATCATAAGAATGAAGACTAGAAGGTATGATAGCTGGAAGTCAAAACACTAACAATTGAAGATATGCAGTTAACACTACTTTGATAGTCAGAATTGAAGAGGGCTTAGAAGACTTGTGAAAGTAAAAATGTAGAGTGAAAAATCTGGGGCAATATTTGGTTGCTGTTATTCAGTTCAAAATTGAAATAATGCCACTTATAAAATCTAAGTATGAATTACTTTTCCATACTGTCACACCACATGTTTGTTATTTACCGGGGATTATATGCTGCTTCAACAAGACATTGGATTACTTTGTTTATGAAATAATTGAAACAAGCATCAAGCTTTCAATATCATTGTAGGTCATCCATACCTTTGGGCTCGATTGGATAGAAAACCAAACAAGCAAGCCGAGAAGAGGTTTAAGCAGTTTATGTACTCGGCAGAAAACTCAAAAGGTAGGTGATTTTTCTGATAAATATAGGTTGTACCACATAAAAGTGATAATGAAGGCATTTCATCTTGGGTTTCTCTCTGTCCTTGGAGAATTATCTAGAGAACCCCAGTTCTTGATGAGCTCTTTGTTGAAATGTTTTGATCAAGTTCTGATTATAGGCCTGTCCTGCTAAAATGAATCAGTAGTTTGAAGATCCTTTGACTAATAAGTCATTGACAGTGATGAAAATACGCTTTAAAAAGCTTTCTCTATTTAAACGGGACAGTAAAAGTAACTGCAGATCAGCAGTTTTCTTATTTGCAAAATAATAGCAATCAAAAATTGACACAAAACTAGAACTGTTATTGCCAAATTGTTGTTTGTTACTTACACTAAACTGCATACCTGTTCAAAGGCAGAAGATGGTAACTTTTTACAAAGGTGTGTTCATATTCTTGCCTACAGGATTTACATGGAACATTGAAGAAGATTTCAGGTCTGTCCCTGAATGTTGGATTCCAGCCAAAGAAATAGAGTACTACAATGGAATGCCTTTCCCTGATGAAAATGGACACATTCCAGGTGGAAAAATACTATTTAATATCAGAGATTCTGTTCTAGACATTTAAAGTCATCTATTTAGTCTTTAATCTTTAAAAAGGATTTCATTTACAGTAATTAATGAAAAATCACTCAGAGAAATTTGTTTATAGAGTAGTCTATAAATAATTTAAATGAAGTCAGTAATAATGGTGTGGTATCAAGTAAAGGACATGTAATGTTTGGATTATGATTTGTACAACATCTCTTGATTGGGAAGCACAAAGTTAATTCTGCCTACTTGATCAGAAGAAAAGGAATTGTGTGCTCTTGTTTTTACTTCTTTTCTTAGGAAAATCCTATTTCTTCCTCATCTTCAAAATATGTGGAGAAAAATATTCCTACCTTCTCTCGTTTTGAAGTTTTCTTTCATGGGCTTCCAAGTTTATTTCTCCCTCTTCAAAAATGAAAGGTTAGGTAAAAAATGTCCTTTTGTTTCCTTTATCATTTTATCAGTGAAGCTAAGACCTCTCTTCCATTTTAAAGGTAAATTATTTGGAGGAAAAAAACTAGTCATTTTTTCAGGTGAATTCAGCAGAGCATCCTATAGAAGCTGAAAGTTCTCATTTAACAGCTTCCCAGTTGGCAATGTGTAAATACAAACAGAAGAAACATCAATAATTAGACAGCCCTCTCCTGGAAAACATACATTCCCTTCCTGAGAATTGTTCACAACTCCAGAGTGAAAATTCTGAATGGACTGAGGTCTGTATTACACTAATATATAAAATATGGTTTATTGCATTCTTTCCAAATAACATAACAATGCAGCAGCCACCGTTGCTTCCACAGTTTTGTCAACAAATATACCGATTACAAAAATTGGTAGAGGCAACTTTATGGTCATTTAATAAATGACCATGCTGGCTGAGGAATTCTGAGACATGAAGTCCACACATCTATAAATTATTCAGGTTTGAGGACTGCACTAGTTCTTACAAATTTGACGTTCTGTTGAGATGCCATTTGAGAGAAAAGTGCACTTTCAAGTTAACAAATCACACTTTAGATATTTCCCAGCCAAACAGCAAATAGAATATTAATCCTTACCATGAGAATCCTTCTGGGTTTTTTTACATACATATATACATATACATATACACATACATACATACATATACATATACATATACATATACATACATACATACATACATACATACATATACATATATATATATATCCAAGACCATACTCATATATTCAGTATTCAAAAGTTTCACATTTCAAAGGTGTTTTCACTCAAATGTACATTATAGTGGGCTGTTTGCATTTTAGTCCTTAGATTATTGATGATGGTAGTATTTCTAGATGTTATAGATTTTGTAGGTTAATCACATAGTTCCTTGACTTCTGAGCAAGTAGGAGTACTTAATCTTGAATGTATTCCAAGTGAAAAAGACATTTATCTTGTTCATGATTTTCTATTTCAAAACAGAAGAATGAGATATTAAAGCAGAATTATTTCTATGGAGTTTTTCCTTTTTGAATTGAAATAAAATTGGATCTTAATAGATCCCTACTGTCAGATTAGTGGTAATTTTTCAATCACTCATTTTCTGTATACAGTAAAACTTACCATTTATATCACTAATACTTTTACTCATATAAAACCAACCTTGACAGATTATTTGTGCTTCATAATAATCAGGTTGGGTACCAGTAGAGAAAAACAGCAAATTATATTGTTGGCATTCTTCTGCTGTTGACTATGAGTATGAACTTGCTCTCATTCTGAAGCATCATGCTGAAGAGCCTCATCTTCTAGAAATCAGTCCAGTACCTTTAACCGAGTTTACAGAGCAGACACTGGAACTTATTGGAACAAATATTAATGCAAATCCATATGGTAAGTACATCAACTCATTTTTAAAGGAATCAGAAAATACAGCAAAACCATTACACTGAAATTACAAATGTAACATTGTAGAAATGTGAAACACAGTAAACCTGTAATAAAGTTAATTAGAAAGGCAGTCCAGTGCTTCAAAGCATGAATGTAGCATTTGTCTGGAACTGTTTAAAGCAGCAGTGACTTTTCTCAGACACATGGACCTTGCAAAGGCCAGCCACATATGACAGCTTTCAAGAGTTGCAGACAGGTGCTATGTTCATGCACCAATGAATTATGAAGCAACTTTTCCAAATTATTTTCCCAATTATTCTGATACTTAGGTTAGAGGTTTATGAAAATGTTCAATTGTAGAAATAACATACATTGCTCTATGACTTTGATGAAATAAAGGATTGTAATGAACTGTTAGACAATTCAATCCAAGTGACCTCTTAGACAAGGTGTGTGAAAAACCTAGACATGTAGTCTGGTAGAAGTAAACATACTATGGAAGCAAGCATCACAATATAATGGGGCTTTGGAGAAGAAACATTTCAGATTAATGTGGAGAGTTTCTGTAATAAAATATGCTATATTTTCTGAATGTTTTAATAGGCTTAGGAAACAAGAAACATCCTATACACCTTCTTGTGCCACATGGAACATTTCAGATTAAAAATGCACCATCAATAAATCAGAATGACATATTGGCTTGGCTTGATGGATGCAAAGAGGGGAAGATTGAAGGAATTGTGTGGCATTGTGCTGATGGAAATTTAATCAAGGTAATTTCATTAAGAAATTGTGATTTTTTTTTTCTTTCATGTGTAAGGTTGTCAGTGCAGAAATCCTGGTGTCCTGAAGTTTATTAAAACAATGTTATTTCTGTTCTGAGGAAAAAAGAAAATAGATTTTTATCCAGTTAGCTCCTACCTAAGTAGGGTTGTGCAAAGCATTTGAAAGGTGCACTTTGCAACCCATCAAAGTGTTTAAAAAGTAATTGCATTCCTTGAGAGACTGATGTGACTTTTTCAAAGGCAGTCCTTGATTGTTCGCCCATGCTTGTGCACACATAGAAATCTCTGGCAGGAGTGCTGGGAAAGATTGTTTATAAGTAAAAGTATGAGTAGACTCTGTTTATGAGTCTCTTACCATATCTATGGATTTCATCTCCAACCTCCAAATTTACACATCTGCCAGGACTGCCGGGAAAGCAAAACTGCTGCGCATGTGGGCAAAGGGTCAGGGAATGCCCTGAGAAAAACCTTCGAATATATTTATCAGTTTTTCAAAGGATAGAGCTGCTTCAATGCTTGTATTAACATGTTTTTTGAAGTATCTCTTTCAAAAGCTTAGCATTGCCTTATTTCTTTGTTTGTTCTACACATACTTTTCTGCAAGCATTGTCATATTGAAATTTGGCTATACAACTTATGGTCTGTTAAAATTGATATTTTAACTGCTTTTCTTTCTTTTTTTTAATAGCTGCACAGACATCATCTTGGCTTGTCCTGGCCAATTGCAGATCCTTATTTGGCATCACAACCAGTTATTGTCACTTTCAGCAGGGCCAAATACAACTTTGAACCAAAAACTCTTTTTCATTATTTTTCAAAGTTGGAGGGACAAAGATTTAATAGTCTTAGAGATATAATAAGTGATCTATGACCAGGTCTCTTCAGAAGATACACTGAATCATCCATGTGTCTGCTCCTTCATTTATAATAAGCTAAGGATATTTAAAATGTTTGTTGAAGTGTAATATAAATTGTATTATGTCTACCCATGTTTGACTTTAACATGTATATACATAAACTGGAAAAACTTTAGCAGAAGAGCTATAAAGA